GCATAAGGGCCCGCCCTCAGAAGGGCGAACCCATGTCGAGGGGAAGAGGGAGAGCGGTAGGCAACCGACGGCAGACCCTAAAAGGGGGACCACTGCCAGAGGCGGCGGGCCGCTGAGTACCTCAGCACCCTATGGGCAAGCTACCCTGCAGGGAAGTGTCCACATGCTATACAAGACCACCGAACTCAACGAGTTCAGCAAAGTCGAAGCTCCAGTCGACATAACAATCGACCCCAACTTCCCCATGAGGAGAATAGTGGGGTCAGAAGCGGCACACGATGCTGCATATGCTTGGTGGACAAGCATGAGTGGGAAAGAATTCGTACACTGGTACGAACAGGCCGAAGCCGCCTTCAAAAGCGGCAAGGTACACAGAACCCTTCACAAAAAAGTGAAGGAAACCGAGAAATACTTCTTGGGACTCCTGAGTATTGCAAGACTCATGGAGGAGTATAATTCCCCAGAGAACAAGGGAAAAATCTCCTGGGAAAGTCTAGGCAAAGCCACCTATCTAAAGTCCCAGTTCAAACCACTCAGGACTCCTGAGGAACGTGCCACAAGAACTGCGTAGCGGGAAGCGAAAGCTTCCAAATACCGGGAAAGAGATGCAAGTCTCCATGCTGGACAACCAGCCCAACGACCACCCTTCCCCACGGGAAGAACGGTAGACCTACCATACTTCACACCTGAGCCAAGTAGCTCAGGAACACAACAACCTGCTCCCACCCAGGGAGCACCCACTTTGTCGAGCCCACAGCCTGACAATGTAGCCCAGGCTACATCATCACATCCGATGTAGCAATCGGATGTCCAGATGAACAACCTGGAGGAAAACCCTCCTCCAGGGCAATGACTCCACCCTCGAGGAAAGGGAAAGTGACATCGTAATACGCCATCGAGGCGCCCGTGAAAACACCTTCCCCCAACTCGAGGCCTCGCACACAATACTGTATGCAAAGAACCGCAAGTAACAATCATGGAAATCTCTACTCCATCAAAAGACCCACATCCACCACCGCTCGTGTGTAAACACCACTCACACACGAACCCTCACGGAACAAGTGAGGAACACCAAAGACATACAACCTTTGGGTCAAAATTCATTTTTGACAAACTTCACTACTTTTCTCCCTGCGATACCCATGTATCACTGTTCACTTCAAAGTAACGGCCCACACTCATTTATTCCCTAAACCCTTTCTCTCTTCTTCACCGACATGTACAAAAATCGCCCACTTTAAAGTGGTGACAACAAAACACTCATTGATAATTTCAAACTCAATGTAAATCAATTATTAAAACTTTGTTTTCTTCACCATCAACCTTGTATGTGTCGCAAATGCAATGCAAGGGGGGAGAATGTCAGGGCAATAGCCCTGAACCCCGAGCCACATGTAATTAGATACATATAGTCATGTGGGTAAGTGGGAACCTCCAGGTAACTGCTTACACACTACCGTAAAATACACACATTTGTATCACTTATGGTTCTGTGTGCTGAGCTACCCCAGAGACCTCATGCATCCTAGTCCTTTGTATGTATTGTTCATTGTTATAATAGGTCGTCCTCGAAGATATCATATTCTTATGTATTTTATTTGGGACTCTGGACCTCTAGAAGCTGTCTTCCTGCATGTTTTTCAGGTTTCAAACTTCATGTCCTTGTATCTCATTCATTTCTGAATGGTTTTTCACGTTCTCGGTATTATAAATTTTCATTTATTCCCACCTTTCCAATGGTACTCAAGTTGTATTCTATTTCTTGGTATTCGTCGAGTTAGCAAAAGTTTGTGTGCACATTCGGTAATCATGTGTGTCGCTCCCATAGTTGTTCATATGCAGGCACCATTTCTGTTTAATTGTTTGGGATTTATGCGCAAGTGTTTGTATCCTCAATATGGGCTTCCATGATTTATTTCAGATTTTTCCCTCATGATCTAAGGTTGTTTTGTACTTTCTGTGCTTTGTTTTGACTGGGGTCTTCCTTATTTGGACAGAAATTGGTCTTCACGGTCTGCCAAAGTGTGGATCTTGGTTCCAATGGCCAGTTCCCTTCGCATCGCCACCCTCACATGTCTTTAAACATGATGCAGATTTCTATATTCCCGTCATTGATATAACTTCACAACGGCTGGACCGTTTGGGCTGAAACTTTGCATAACTATAGTTTCTTATTTATCATAATTCTCGTGTAAATTTTGTTGTATGTTTTAAATATGGATCCTTCGTGAATGTTGCCTTTTCCCTGAGCCATGACTTTGATGTCGCTTTTCCCATTATTGAATATCGCATTGATGCATAAACCCTTTATTATGAAAATTTGGGTGGATTAAGATTAGATCCCTTCCTTTCTAATGGGTTATCAAGGTCGTTACTGCTTGTTCTTCGCACTTGCCTTTTAAATGTTGTCCTCATTTTCCGAGAGTTCGGGTCATATCTCTGTTGTTTATGGGTAGTTTTCCCTGTAATTACTTTCATTGGGTCCGTTTGGGAGACATCTACATTTCCTATTATAAACACGATTTTGAATTTTGCATTGGTTCCTAAGGAATCTTTGTTCCGTGGTACTTCCATCCTCGGCTACATGTGTGGGCGTGGGAAGGTAGTTTCCGTGGAAGTTCTCTGGTTGGTTTTATTGTCAAATCTTGCCCGATTGTCCTAGTTCCTTGTTTAATATTTGCTATAAATTACCCTGAGCATTCCGTCTTGTTGGTGCTAAGCTCGAAGTATTTCTATTAATTTTCTTTTTTCCGATTTATTGTATGTAGTCGTAAAAATTCGTAAAAATTCAGGTTCTTCTATTTTCTGATATGTACTTGTCATATGGGGTTTTCTGGCATATTTCCATAATGAGTTTCCATAGGGTGACCATTATTTCTCCTACAGCGGGTGTGCCCTGACACTCTGGAGGTGAGAGATCTTCCCCAGCTTGGGTGAGATCAATGTGAAATGGAGTTCTAGGGGTATTGGGCCCCACACTTACTCCATGTAAGTTTTTAAAACCTTCAGGGACCAGCCCTGATGTGGTTGTTCTTTCTGGATTGTGTTGATCCTTGTCATTGTCTGATGACGGCTGTTGCTTTGAATCTCCCATAATGGGAGATTGCAGTTTCTTTATAAACTGCTCATTCTTCTTTATCGTCGCTGCAGAAGTGACCTTGCCCTTGTGGGCATGTTTTGGTGCCATAGGCGCTACTGAGTCAAGTTGTTAATGCGATGTGATAGTTATTTGTGGGTTGTGTTGTACAACACACCTCATACACTTAAAAAAGTGTGAGGTCTCAGTGGGGGGTGCTCAGCACACTAGGTCATAAGTGATATGAATGTGTGTATTCTATGGTGTGTGTAAGCAGTTAATGGAAGTTCCCACTTACCCATGTGACTATATGCACATCATAATTACATATGGCTCAGGGTTCAGGGCTATTGCCCTGACAGTATGGTTCAGATGGAGATGAGACAAGAGGAACTAGATGGACTGGATGCCAGGAGCACCAAGGGCTCAGGAACTGGAGGTAAGGTCAGAATGCTGGCAAGGTCCAGGGTCAGATTGTTGACCAAGTCTCACTCAATAGGACAGGGGGCCAGACACTGGGTTGGGGCTGGTTAGGATGGGTTTTGGGTCGGCAGATTTGCCTATCGGCATTGGTTCACCACTGATGGAGCCCCAGGATTTGTTGGTCATGACACTGCTGTCAAATAGCACATAGCTTTTATGCCTACTATTTTGATGTGGGCCATCAGTGTTCTCTTTGATGAGAGTGGTCTATTTGCAGGATACTTTCCTGCATCATTTGAGATGTGAAATTTTTGCATTGAACAAGGGGTCTGGGTTTCATAGGACTTTTGGTCCTTCTTCCCTTTCTCCCTGTTTTCCTTGGGCACCTTCATGTATTTCCCCAAGGCATCTTTCTTTGGTGCTTCCACCAAAGCTTCAGCAACTTTTTGGTCCACCATGTTCTCTAGCTGGCATGCTACAACCAGTTTGATTTTATAATTTGTGTTGTTGTGGTCAACAACAGACATCAGGCCCAGTCTGATGGTTCTGACACTCACCTTTGTTGAAATTCTTGTTTCTTGGTACGCTGTGGACCGACCATTGAATACAACGGACTATATTTCTTGCACACGGACATTTCCTTGTAGGATTGCCCGACACTCTCATTGAGGCAGCTACAACTCATTTGGCCCTGGGCTGAGGCATACATCAGCAGGATCCAGCCCTGTACAACATGCTGGTGAAGATTTATATTGACAGCACCTTTGTGAGGCCCCAGCCCATGTCTATATTCTGCCCATGTGTAATAATTATGTCGCGACGCTAATTTAGCGTTGTGGAAGCTTCTCTATTTATTTGTGCCGAGAATGCATTAGATTGTATATAAACCCTCGGGGTAGCTGTAAAAGGCGGATCAGCCTTTACTTCTACCCCGTTAATATACAGCAAATACTTAGACGGACAATTGAGGCCTGAGGCAAACGGGGGAATGGAACGTTACCGTCCCCAAACTAGTAAGATACCTTTCAACCTTCCTCAAAGAAAATATTGTGTGTATGTACTTGATTTTTTACATCTTATGAAATGGTGCAAGGATATTTCACTAAATTTGACCCCTGTATTTCGACGTATCCTCTTGCTAGACATCTTGTATAATGTCCACCTTATGTGCACATGACAAATTGGACCCAACAGTGTCAGATCTATTCAGGGTCCAGAATGGCTTCTTCTGTTGTGCATGTCCTCTCAATTTCTCAATTTCTACTGCAAACACATTTTCTCAATGTCAGACAGAACTACAAGATCCAAAAGCCAAAAATCAAAGCTGGGTACACTGAGGGTATCAAAGGAAGATGCCCAACTGGAACCCGTGGTGGCAGCTACCTTATCTAGGGAGGCCACTAACACTTCCTGCCTGCTACCCCACTGCTGACAACCTCCCCAGTTGCCCCCACCATACATGGCCAAAATATTGCCCACGATATTGCCCCAACCATTCAAAATGGATTATCAAGCAATATCAGCCTTAGGCCCCATGGAACAAGCAACTACAGGGAGCATCAATGCATTTAGTCTGCCAAACACAATCTGTGAGTGTCAAAATTTCTAGGATAGAAAATCAAACTCACATTTTTTGATTCCAGGTGTGCCCTCAGGAGACAACCCACCACAGTGTGGCATGCACAGCCTGAGTCTGAATGAGCCTGAACCGATAGGGATTACCTACATGGTGAATGTAGGAGGGAAATTCAAAGCTTGCCAGCGGCTCAGTACTGAGAAGTATAAGAATTGGCATGCTGCAATTGTTGAGGTGTCGGGGTTTGCACAGACATACACCTTCAAGCATGAGCTTGCTTGGAAGATGTACTCGGCTCCTAAGAACCAGGACCCAGTTGCCATTGACAATAAAAGTGACTACAAGATGATGATCTGTGAGGTTGAAAATGTGAGTGTGAAAAAGGAGCCAACAGTTGCAATTATTATCAGCAACTTGGTATGTCAATGAAACTACAGCTTACTAGACTGACTAATTATTAATGGGTCCATTGTTTGACAGCCAAAAGACAATGCAGAGTCATCTTGTAGTGACAAACAGACTCGAAAGTCAAAAAAGGCAAGGATCGAGCAACAAAATGAGAGACTGAGTTCCCCAGCCACTGCCTCAGATTCCGAGGCTGATTCTGAGTCCAGGCCACACAAAATTCCAGGGGCATTGTCAGTTCATGAGCTGGAAGAGTTGATTAGAAAGAACAATGCCTTTTGCGAGTCCCACCAAGAACACTGCCATGTGTCTTCAGCTCATAGCAGTGAAGGCCATCACATTGTCCTGACTCAATCAATGATTAAGCATTGGGCCCAACAAATTGTATATACATTACATCATGATTGATATATGCTGCTGACCTGATATCATGTGTTTGGTTGCAGGATTAGGGTGTTGCCTCAATTAAGGAGATACCAAAGTTCTTCCTTAAAGAGGCCAACTCTCCTGCACCAGTGAAGGCAGTTGAGAAATGGGCGAAAAATCCTCTACCTCCAACTTTGTCAGGGCAATAGCCCCAAACCCCAAGTCTGATGTAACAACAGTGTACATAGAGTCACGTGACTAAGCGGCAACTTCTGGTTACCACTTAACACCATTGTATCACTTATGGTCTGGTGTGCTGAGCAACCCCCCTGAGACCTCACAGACTTCTAACATTCCACCTGTGAATGCTGGACTGGGCATGTCTGTCATGGCCAATCCCTCTCTTGTTCAGGTCCCCATGGCATGGCTGGCAATGTATCCACCTTCATATTACTTTCCAGATCCAAGGACTACCTTCCCCCCCCCTGTCAGGGCACACCCGCCTGACCCGGGTCCACCCAGACCCACCTGGCCACACCTCACCCGCTCCCTGCTGTCCATCCCTCTCCTTCCTCCCTCCTCCCTCCTTCCCTCTTTCTTCTCTCTCTTTCTTCTCCTTTCTTTATTTCATTCTTCTCATCTTTCTCTTCCTGTTTATTCCTTCTATCTACACAGACCACTTTCCTCTGTATCAATGTACTATTGACCCGTCCAGCCCACACACCCTGGACGGCTTCCCACTGTACCCAGCATGCACGCATGCAGCGGACACTCTCGGGATCCCCCATGGGGACACCCAGATGGCCATGGCTGTCTCCGAGGACGATGTGGTGCCTGTCATGTGACTCAAGCTGCATGTACATAAATGTACCTGAAGTGGAACCAAAGAAGTACCCTTCTTCTCACATTCTCCACTTCAGTCTGAGTGGCCAGGGACTGCTGTCCCTTTCTGGACCTGCCAGTATGCATGCCTGGTTTGCACCCTGCGAGGGCCCCTCTGCCAGGTGATACATCTGGACCCCCTCTACCCTGGACGCATCCCTGACAGCAGAAGAAGGTTTCAACCTCATCTCCCTGCCTCCCCAGCCATGGTGTCAGAAGAGCAGTATGAAGAGCTGCTGGCTCGCTTCCAAGAGCTCCAAGCCATCGTGGAGAGCCAGGCCCACAACCACCCCCCACCCACACCTGCACCAGCACCCGCCCCCACGCCTACCCCTGCACCTGCACCCGCACCCAGACCCAAACCACCTAAGGTTGCCCCCCCCACTCCCTTCTCAGGAGCCAGCAAGGACCTTGACCGTTTTAAGGCTGAGTGTGGGATCTATTTCCACGTTCGCGCAGCTGAGTTCCCCACCACCCTCTCCCAGATCCTTTTCGTGTTGTCTTACATGAAAGGAGGACCTGCAGGGGCATGGGCCATGCAACACACGATCACGCTGCTTACAGCTGGCTCCCCTTCCCTCACCATGGACGAGTTCAACACAGAACTTGATGCCATGTTCCAGGACCTGAACCGGGAGGCCACAGCCAGACAGAAGCTGGCAGCCATCTGCCAGGGAAGCAACTCTGTGGATAAAGTAATCCAAGAGTTCGAGATATTGGGACCTGCCTTGAGGCTAGGCGACTGTCAGGGACGCGTCCGGGGTAGAGGGGGTCCGGATGTATCGCCCGGCAGAAGGGCCCTCGCGGGGTGCAAACCGGGCGTGCATGCTGGCGGGTCCGGGAAGGGACAGCAGTCCCTGGCCACTTAGACTGAAGTGGAGAAGGTGTTATTGTTATTAAAAGGGAAAACTATACTACTTACCTGAAGTGGAGAATGTGAGAAGAAGGTTACTTCTTCGGTTCCCACTTCAGGTACATTTATGTACATGCAGCTTGAGTCACATGACAAGTGCCACATCACCCTCGGAGACAGCCACAGGCATCCGGGTATCCCCGTGGGGGATCCCGAGAGCGTCCGCTGCATGCGCACGTGCTGGGCACAGCGGGGAGCCATCCGGGGTGTGTGGGCCGGACAGGTCAATAGTACATTGATACAAAGGAAGGTGGTCCATGTAGATAGAAGGAAATAAACAAGAAAAGGAAAAGAGAGAAATGAGATAAAGAAAGGGGAAGAAAGAGAGAAAGGAAAGGGGAGGAGAGACAGAGGAAGGAGGAGGGAGAGGGTTGGACAGCAGGGAGCAGGTGTGGTGTGGCCGGGTGGGTCCGGGTGGACCCGGGTCAGGCGGGTGTGCCCTGACAGCGACATAGGATGGGTCAACCGTTTCAAGCAGGCAATCAATTCCTGCCTCCGGGAGAGCATATACCAGCTCCGCCCCATGCCCACTACTTGGGCCAAGTGGAAGCGCAAAGCCACGCTCCTGGACAACCAGTGGTGACAATTCCAGGCCACTCAACCATACACGTTCCCACCCAAACCCATGCTCCCGCCAACTTGACCCCTGTCAATCGTGACCCCACCTCACACATGACCCCACCTCACACATGACCCACGCCTGGGCCTCCACAACTCGCACCACTGCCTCCACCCTCCCCAGCAGCCTGCCCCATGACAGGGATGGGCCCACAACTGATGGACCTCAACTGCTCAAGGACTGACCAGAGACAGTGTTAGAACCAGGTGGATTCAGACGACTCCGGAGTGGAATTGGAGACTTAGCGTGGAAGGACCTTGGCCTCAGCAACTCAGGCAGAGCGCTGTGCCATTGCTGGTTGTCCTGGGGGTCCCTAATTTCGGATCTAGCAGAGGGAAAGTCTCTTGGGGGGAATTCAGGTCTATTTCGGACTGAGGTTACAAGTTACTATGTACATTGTATATAAGGAGGGGTCCGGAATCAAAAGGAACAAGGGTAGGACGAAAGGAGACAAAGGGAGATGGAAAGAGGAACAACACTGAGGGTCAAAGGTTTGACTCAATGGTGTTTCTCAAAGGAGGAATGAAGGGCCAAGGCCCAAGGAGGAAGGAAGGAGGATGGGAGTGGGGAATGGCCAGCTGACTGAATAGAAAGGAAGCAGCAGCCCAAATAGGAATGAGGGAGTATAGCGGAATTGAATGGAGCAATGCAATAGTTGCAAGGTCCGACATAAGTCCGGAAAGTCCGAACTCGGAAGTTAAACTCCGGAATATTGGCAAACATAATTAAATGGAATGAGCTAACCAATACAATGGGTATAAGCGGAGGTGGGGTCAAAGTCCGAGGTCAGAGCTAAGACCGGAGGTTCCGGAGATGGAGACGTGAACGGGATTCCAGAGCGGAGGCCCGGAGTCGGGAGCATAGGTGTTGCATATTCATCTGGAAGGTGTCGAGGTTGGGGTCGGACCCGGAATGTTCCAGAGTCGGACCGAAGGTGGTGTCAGAGCCGGAGGTGGGATAACCTCTTGGGAGTCGGCAAGGAGGGGGTGGTGGGGGGGGGGTGGGACTCTGGGGGTCAGGTTTGGAGTTCCGGGAGCCCAGAGCAGAGGTCGGGATTGTATGGATATGACAGACAGTGCTACAACTGTAACACCCAGGGGCACATCCTACGAGACTGCCTGCACCCCAAAGTCCACTGGGCACGATGTCTCCACCCTGAGGACCTTCGAGCGTTGATGGAAGGGCTGAAGAGGCAGCTGACTGAGGAGCCAGAGACGGAAGGAACAGAGCCAGAGATGGAGGCTCAGGGGGATTTTTAGGAAGGCGACCGGTGAGGGATGCATCCCAGCTGCCCATAGAAGATAGCTTGTGTAAATACCGCAGTGCATGTGAGTTGACACCAATGCCAAAACTTCACCGAGTTATTGCAAAGAAGAGGAGAAAAAACGCATCCTCAGCCTGTGAGAGTAAGAGAACCATAGAGGCAGCACCCAAAGTGGCAGTATCCCTGCCTGCCATCTATGTCCTCTCCAAGCAATCCCCCAGATTCCTCAACCTTACGGTAAAACTAACCACCCTGACCTCCCTCCTGTCAGTGTCGGTATCAGCCCTCCTAGATTCAGGAGCCACTGGGAACTTTGTGAGCCCTGAGTTCGTCCAGAAGCACAAGCTCGAGACAACCCCAAACATGGAGCCATAACCGAAGAGCTGGAAGCCCTCCTGATGTTTGGGCAGCACACAGAGTGCGCCCGCTTTGCAGTTGCAAACCTGGGATGACAGTCCCTCATCATAGGGCACTCATGGCTGCTACACCACAACCCAGAGGTAGACTGGGCACAACAGAAAGTCATCATGTCCCGTTGCCCATCCTCCTGTGGACAGCTGCGAGCATGAGACGACCGGGACCCTGCACTAGAGCTGGGGGATGGGATCTACGCTGCAATCATCCCCCCCAGCTGGGGACACGACCTGAGGGCCACCACGACCCCCTCTCAGCGGATGGCCCAGGAGGCCCATGACCTGGATGCAGAACCCACATTGTTCGAGACGCTGGTGCCAGAGCACTACCAGGACTTCCGGGATGTGTTCTTGAAAGAAGCCTTCGACCAGCTGCCCCCTGGAAGCCCTGGGATCACGCTATAGATCTGGTACCAGATGCCAAACTGCCCAGAGGAAAGACCTTCCCCCTTTCGCACCTGGAGCAGAAAGAACTGGACGAGTTCCTGCACAAGAACCTGCAGAATGGGCAGATACGACTGTCTAAGTCTCTGATGGGAGCACCAGTCTTCTTTGTCAAGAAGAAAGATGGATCACTACGCCTGGTACAGGACTACCAGAAGCTGAACGAGATCACCGTAAAGAACTCGTACCCACTCCCACTTATCTTGGACATCCTCGCCTGCCTCCAGAATGCCAAATACTTCTCTGCCCTAGACTTGCACTGGGGGTTTAACAACGTCCGGATCAAGGATGGGGACGAGTGGAAGGCAGCATTTGTGACCAACTGAGGGCTGTTCGAGCCTATGGTGATGTTCTTTGGGCTGTGTAACTCCCCTGCGACTTTCCAAACCATGATGAATGACATCCTTAGGGACTTCATCAACTGGGAAGTCATTATCTGCTACATGGACAACATTCTCATCTTCACAGCCACCCTGGAGGAGCATCAGAGGGTCGTCCAAGAAGTCCTGGAGACACTGTGAAAGAGGAGGCTTTTCCTGAAGCCAGAAAAGTGCAAGTTTGAGTGGACCCAGATCGAGTACCTCGGCCTCGTCATCTTGGAGGGTAGCATTGCAATGGACCCCATAAAGGTCCGTGGAGTCCTCGACTGGCCAACCCCAACCAAAGTGAAGGAG